TATATATATATATACATGAATATATATCTCACCATAAGACATCTGTTGCTCCTTTACCACATCGACATGCACTTCATTTAAGGCCAACACACAGATATACCAGATTAAAATGAGCCTTTAGCAGAATTGTCCAGTACCAATGCATGCATTCTTAGATCTACAGTGGAATGATTATATCAATGCAGAAAATGAGTACTTCTTCCAAAACCTTGTTTCACCAATGGGCAAAGTATTCAGGTTTCTTACTGCAGTAAATGTAGCACCAATACAAGTAATTCATAGCTGAAAAATGTCTTGCATCAGGTGATGCCAGTTACACTGAGGTTTAGTATGCCAGGAGCTGTGATGGCCGAGTGGTTAAGGCGTTGGACTTGAAATCCAATGGGTTCTTCCCACGCAGGTTCGAACCCTGCTCACAGCGGTTCATTTGACCTTTTACAGAACTTGAGAAACACAGTAACCATGTTATATTTCCATAAACTGTCTGTTAAAGCTTCTACTACATTAACCAGCACTTCACTGATTGCTCTTGCTTAAACATCATCCATGAAAACGAGCCTTAAGGTGACCTGTCTGACACCAGTTCAGGTAACTGCATGTGCTCTTACAACAGTTTTTTTTTCTCTTTGCAGAAACCAAATGTGCCTTTTACTTTGAAACACCTGTTTAGGTGGTGGAAGAAGTACTCAGGTCTCTTACAAGTGGCAGTATCCCAGTGCCCCAGTGTATAAATACCCTGTAACAACTGTAATTTAAGGTGGAATCATTTTGGGCAGCAGTTCTTCTATGGTTGTCAAAGAAACTCTAGAGGGCAGCTGTAATGGCTGAGTGGTTAATGTGCAGGATTTGAACTCCAGTGGGGTTTCCTCTGCTCACAACAACACATTTCATTTTTGACTAGAGATCAAATGAACAACACAATAAGCATGTCTGTCAGTGTTAAAGCTTCTACCATATCAACGTGTAGTTCATTGATGGCATCTATTCAGAGCAGCATTACCCAGGGTGTATTCAGCAAGGGGCTGTGATGGCCAAGCAGTTAAGGCTTTGGACTTGAAATCCAATGGGGTGTTCTTATGCAGGTTCAAGTTCTGCTCACAGCAGTGCTGTTTAAGTTTAATGGGTTGTGGTCTAGATACACAATGCAGTATGTTAGGTGGCAGAAATACCTGAGTCTTCTGAGTAAGGGCAGAGACACATCAAGCCACCATGAAAAAACTAACAAAGACCAAGGCTGTCTGCTGTATGACACAGTTCTGGGCCAGTTGGGTCAAAAAGTGTCACTGGAACACAGACTACAGCCAATGTTCTGCTCTGGTGTGAGAAGGAATAACTCTCCATAAAACCATGTGGTGGTAGTCTTCATCTGTCATTCAAAAAAGGGAAAACAGAGGGCTGCAGACATAACTGTAAAGAAAGCATCATTTGGTTGCTGTTTTCACTCTACTCTCTTTTTTTCTTGTGCATTGATTTGCTAAATCTGAACAGCCAATCAGAGTGGTCTCTCTCTCTCACCGACAAGGCCCACCATGTTGAATTGGCCAAAAAAGCCACCAATAGGGCCTAACTAGTGCTAACGGTACGAAACACAATGGGAAGACAAACCCCAACAGACACTCACCGATGGCCCGACAGTGGCCGATGGCCGACCGTGGGCTTGGTGTGTCTCTGGCCTAAATAAAAGAAGCAAAGAAGCAAAATTAGAGTGTAGAAATTCCTTCATCCATATTCAATCAATTCTATTTGTATCACAACAAAAATCATCTCAAGGCACTTTACATGGAGAAAACCACTCTGCAGGCCTGTTTCAGAATAATTTATATTACTGGATTTCTAGTGAGCTGATATGTTCATCACTTTAACATTTTAGCTCAGAAAAGGTTTAAGAGATTTTTAGACTTTATATATAAGTATCTATTGCAGCACACACACACACCTTGTTATTCTGGGGTGATGTCACATTCTGCTGCTTTGTTTTCTGTCTTCTTCCTTCTTTGTGAAGATTTCTATCTCTCTTATCAAAACAGATGTGACATATATTTATGTAAGCAGTCTTGAGAAAATCATCCTAGTACTCGTTGCGGTATATCATCACACAGAATCACACATCCCTGGACTGTGCTAAACACGTCTAATTCCCACGTGACATATGCTGATTCAGTTGAGAGAGAAGTGGTGAGATGTAAGTGGGGATGAATGAAGACCTGAGCACTAAGAGACAATCAATGCAGACAGCAGCATGAGTGGAAGGGCCTCTTAACAGCAGCCATGGTGATTTGCAGTCAATGCTTGAGGGAAGAAGAATCTGATTGTGGTGGACAAGAAAATATTATTGTATTCTGATGAGTTCTGGCAGCGTCGCTTCTATTGTCCAACCAGAGTCTCATTAGTGTTGGCGTGGGTTTTGTAAGTGGTTGAATGGATAAGATGTTAGACCTCAAATCTAGTGAGGGCTCCGTGTGCAGGTTCCAGCCCTGTGCACAGTTGGAAACAGCATTTACAGCTTTTAATTACCTCTTTCTCTTGTAAAGCACTTTGGGAACTCCATTATTGAGCTTGCAGTGGCCGATTTTGGACGAAAAAATTTTGGATGACTGTGCAAGACACAGATGCATTCTGGGTCGGGCTTGGGTGTGCTTCAGGCTCATGGTGTGAGCGGGACATAGTGCAACGCTCCCTCCTTTTTAAAAAGGCCTCTCCTAACCATGAGCTGCTGGGCACAAATGTAAAAAGTTCTCACCTCTCCAACAGAAGAGATAAAGACATAAGACAGTTTGTGTCTGTGTTTGTTTTGCATTACTTTAAGGTTGTTTTGTGCTTCTTTGTGATCATTTTGCTTCTGTTTGTGCTGGTCTTGCACCTAAATCTACTCATTTTGCTTGTACTTTTACTCATTTGTGTCTACATTTACTATTTAGTACCTGTTTGTTGTTGTTTTGATTGACTTTGCAATAACAAGTCTTATCAGTCACTTTAAACCAATGCTTCCGAGGCCCCTCTAATGCCTGGGGTCCAGTTCAATAATCCATCCATGTGTAGCATGCTCATAACTTAAAGTACAACTCATGAAACTAAACACAAGCATCTTACTGCAATACTTTGTACTTTTTGTCTTACTATAGCAACCCTTCTCATTGTTAATATGTTGTCACTGTTTCTTTCTCCTGCATTAATCAAACTCTTTCTCATTCATAGCTCTTAGGTGCTGACGGGGCATTTCAGGCTCACAGGAACACACATTTGTTTATTTGTAGCAATAAGGAAACTTGTCTGCAGCACATAAAAGATTCATGTGAACCGCTTAAAGTTTAAGAGTCTGGCAAGAGTAAAATCAGAGTCAGGATCTGTTCAGCTGCTTCAGGCATAACAGAGGTTTTTCATCTGGAGAGGTGTATTAAAAATGTACAATAGCACTAAGACGTGACTCTGTGTTAAACAGCCAAAGCCTCATTTTACAAACGTATTAAAAAGGGAAGCCACACAAAGCACTGTGGCACAGACTTCTGTATGTGTTGAAAAGCATAAAGTCTAAATATACACAAGTTGACTCATGACTAATCTGTGTGTATATCTTTGTGAAACCCTGCGAAGCAGGCAGCTGCAGTTTGTGTGTAGCTGTAGAGGAATATAATGAATGTTTTTTTCCATCCACTTCTGTCCAGTTTTACTTTCAGGTTCTTATAGCCAGGAAATAAACTGAATAATATTGTCATGACACTATCTAAACTTTAAAAAGTGGCTGTCACTTTGACATAGTATTTTTTTAAATAAAGAGTATCTGATGTTCAAACATTGCACTCAACTGCATTTGCTTGTGTGCTCCATCTGCATACTGCTTCATTTATTTATTAGCTTACTTTAATTGTTGCACTTGAGTGTTATTTCATTGCAGCTCCATGTCGGACATCGTTTTCTTTCCTGCACAGTGAGAACAAACTACAAAGCCTTTCTCGGTAATTCTAAATTTAGTCCAGAGCATCAGCTCACCAAATCGAGCAACAAAGCCAGCCTGAACGCCTGCCTTCAAATCAACAGGCTGATGATCATTATTTGGAAATGAGTGATGAAATTATTGCCTGAAACATATGGTAATGTGCAATGAAACTGGAATGAGAGATAATAACAATGACAGCAATAATCTATGGCAGACTGTTAACAATAGCCTCATTTCAACTTTTAATGTCCTCGCCTCCTGCTTTACTATCACTGTCTCAGTTTGAAACCTTGGCATTACTTGTCTCTGATTGTGGGCCATGTATCATAGTAGTTTTTTAAAATGTTGATTAGGGTTTAAAGTTCTGGGAAAAGCTATGCAAATAGGTCATTTAACCAACAAAAGCTACCTGCCACTCACGAGACATAGTGGAAAGAGGATTCAAATCATTTATTCATGTAGAAGAGGTGATACTCGTGTGTAACAAGACACTGAGCGTACAGGCACTGTGAGGCTGCGTTACAAAGCTAAATGCTAACATAAGCATGCCAACTAATACACTGCAAAATGTGTCCAAGCGTTTGACTAGTGGTGTGTGTAGTTGTTGAATTTCTTGCTGTGATAGCTCAGACAAACACAAAGGTAATGAGAGGACCATTAAATATAATTTACTGCAATTTTTCTAAACTGTCTCAGACAGACTCAGGCAGAAAAAATAAAAATAGATAGACGAATAGATAATCATGCTGCTTTGATTCTATATATTTAGAGAAGCACCTGTTTGAGCAAAATGTCAAAAGTCAGAATAAAATGACAATAGTCAAAAAGCAACATGTAAATTTCTGGTTTGTTTTTAGCACTATTTGGACAGAGAAAATAAGTTTATAACACTAAAAGCTACAGCATGTGAGAAGTACAGAAGAATGTGGCTCTGCTGCTGTTTTACAGCTTACCTGTAACTTTAACAAACAAAACAAGCTGAAGTTAGCTGGTCGCTAAGCTTCATCCTTTAGCTGGCGAGAAACTAGAAAAACCAGAAAAAGATCTATTTGATGTGATGACGTGGTGTGAAAGCTGCTGCTGGCACAAGTCAGCTCCACAAACTAATGATTGGTTCTTCGCTAATTAGCTGGCTAGTGAAAAAGTTTTCATTAATGACCCATTTGGATGGTGTATTTTAACACATTACCAAAAGACTGATAGACTTTTGGTCAAAAATCGCATTCAGTTGCAGTTAATTCTTTGTCAGTTCTAAAGACGACACATATGTTTTTACATTACAGTGTGACTTGTGCTTTTTTAGAACAACATTACTTCTGATAGTCCTCACAAATAACCCCACTTAAAATTCATAATTATAACTCTATAACTCTTATCTGAGAACATCACGTTTTTAAATTTTCTTTAGTATCAAAGTAATGCAGTGACAATTGTCTGTATATCCATGTGTACACTGAAAACAAGAACTACTAAAAGCTAATTCTGGTGCCAATTTGCCAATATGTAAAGAAAGGTTAACTAGAAATATAGGATTCTAGTTGGAGCCCAGAGGTTCATGGTGCGTTCCGATTACCTCAGAGAAGTCAGATCACCATAACTCACTGAATTTACTGCAAGAGCATTATGGGAATTGTAGTTCCAAAAATGTGAGAATAATTCCTGTAATGTTTTTTATGCGATAGCTAGAGGCATAAGGATGTGACGAGTTGTCCGTCAGTCCTTCTGCCTGCTTGTTCATCCAGCTGGTCCATTCTCATGAGATTAATATCTCAGAAACACGTTAAGGGAATTTCTTCAAATTTGGCACAAATGTCCACTTGGATTCAAGTTTGAACTGATTAAATTTTGGTGGTCAAAGGTCACGGTGATCTCAAACTGTCCGCTTCCCATGAATTTGACTAGATAGGTGAGGTACACAACTATGAAACTGTCATTCTAATTTCACATTGCACCAGTAATGTTTCTAACATTCAGTTTTCTTTTAACTTCATCACAGTTTGTCTATTTCTTTCTGCATTGCAGCTTGTTGTGCCCCTCTGTGTCTTGAAATCATTTCGTAGCTTTGATTTTCAGTTTAGTTGCAGATGGATGGAAAACAAATCAAAGAAAGTAAAAAAAATTCCAACACCTTTCACAGTGTCTTTGGCCCCAGTGGAGATGAAAATCCAAACTCTGTCAGTGTTTGCAACAGCTCCCTTCACACTGAGCTGCAGAAGAAATGGGACCCCTAACCCTTGCAGAGTTAGTACCACACTTTACCCACTGAGCATCCCTGCAATTAAGTTAAATGGGCACACAAACCATATTGCTAATGTTTTCATGAAGCCAGAGCCCCAGAGAAGTGTAGAGATTGCAGAATCCATCAGTGAAATTGCACACTGACATGCCCCACTAAGTTTGACTGCACGATGGAGATCACTTATCCAAAATGCATCCAATATACAGATATATCCAAATGCATGACATGTCATCAGAAAACCATCGACAAACTCATCGCAGACAGCTGCTGTTTGTTCCATTCTGGAGAATCATAATCCTCACTGAAAGCTCAACAATCAAATCATTTCTCCAACTAGATTTTACAGCCAACGAATGACAGTTTGTTAATTTGACTGGAAACCCAGCAGAAGGAGATTTTATAGCCAAATGGCAAATTATTTTCACTGAAAAGCCCAAAACATCATCCTGTCATCTGTACACACAAAAAAATCCTTATTAACGAAGTGATTTCATTACAGGCTAATTCCTAACAGGGAGCGAGAATTTTAGTTTTCTGCAACAAAGGAGCTAAAATAAGTTGGCTCACTGTTTTTATTCAGAAAATTCATGGTTTTAATTGTGTTTCCCATTTTAACTCGAGCCAGCTAAGCCGACATGCTTCCCCAGGAAGCAGCAACATTTTAATGACTTCATTTCAATGTGACATTAGACTGAAACAGTCATTTAAATGTTATTGGAGCAACAGTTATATTTACACAGGATGACTGTTTTCAACCTAATTTAACCCTGTTTTAAGTTGTTCAACTTAACATTTGCTGCCCAGGTTGTTTGGTTTCCAGATTTGTTTATTTACCAAT